GAGCGAGATGAGGGGTCCTGGACAGGGTGCTACATGTCCCCACTGTGTCTGTTTAAAGGTTGTTTTACAGTCACATGTAATGTTATTTAAATGTACCCTAGAAATGAAAAAAAACCACCTCACAAAAAATTTTGTGGTTTTTTTTTAATAAAATTCATGAAAATTCTTCGATGTAATGGGGGGATTCAAATATTGAACTATTTAGTGATCATAATAAAAAATGTGATTATAATAAAAAGAGATAGTGGAAAAACTTGCTGTCCTGTGGAGGGCTGTAACAACAGGAGCAAAAATGCCCCAGGCAGTGCTAACCATGGGATGGAGGATGCTGCTGGCAAAATGGGAGCCAGGTTTTATCCCACCAAACTCCAGCCCCAACACAGAGGCATGCCATCAGCATGTCCCAGTTTTGGCAGTGCCACCAAAGATAAAGCAAATAAGATTTAACAAGCAAAGCAATCTTTTTAGTTCCATTATTAATGTGATAGGCTCTTATTTCTCCTCCCTGTTTAAAAAGCAGCCGTAGGACACACCAAGATCCCTGGCCCTGGTTTCAATTATGCAGAGCCTGAATCAGAACTGTCTGCTGGGCTGTAAATACGAGGGGGGCCCCTCTCTGTACATCGTAAAATTGAATTCTAAAATTTCATGTTAAGAGCCTTGTCTTTGCATAATGGATTGCGCTGCCATCTGTCACGGTGACACAAGTCACAGCTGAAAAAGTACTTTATTAGAATTTTTTTTTTTTTAAACAATTTTGATTTATTCTGGTTACGCTGTCTGTATAATAGACCGAGCAGAATCTCACACTGATCCTTACGCTCAATAAAGCACCTACAGATACATTACAGAAATCCCTCACTGTTTCTAAGTTACGGACAAATGGTGTCTCAGGGACTGCTCCCAATCATCTGTGTCTTTTAAACCCGAATCAAGCATCAGGGTTCTTAACGACCTTCGTCTCATCGGCTCTCGCCTGGTGTTGTTTAGAGTTGTTGGCCCATTTTCATCACTGCTCCGATCAATAGCTGTGACGACAAAGATATGATGAGCTGCATGATTCCCTCTGGTCACCACTGCTTAATGATTTTTCCAAACTCCAATCTTCAGTTGAAAGGGGGAAAAATAAAATAAAAACAAAATAAAATAAAATAAAGAACTTGGAGGAAACAAACATTGAGCCGTTTCTCGCGATGCCAAATTAGTCGTGCTCCTCTCCGCTTGGGCTGAGCACGCAGGATGTTTCTCAGCTGCAGAGCCCTCATGGCACTGTCTGGATCCCACAGTAAGCTGGTCCCATCACTGTTGTTCCTTCAAATGGAGAATGCTTTTGGTACCAGCAGCAGCTATTGAGGTCTTGAGATGTTGGACCATACCCACTGCTCATACCAGGAGCTGCAACCCCTGCTCCAGACTTTCTCCTCAGAGATGTGAGCCTTGGTCATGATCCTTCCCACCACTCTTTGGACTGGAGACGTGCTCAAGAATTCAAAATAGTTTAAGCTACGCCTTTGCATTTTGAAGGGAAACTGCTTGAGCAACCTGGTCTAGTGGGAGGTGTCCCTGCCCTTGGCAGGGGGTTGGAACTTGATGATCTTTAAGGTCCCTTCCAACCCAAACCATTCTGTGATTCTATGATCCTTTTGGTGGAGGAGCAAGTCCTCTTTTTAGGAGTCAAGAAAATAGTGACTTCTCAAAGTCAAGCCATAAAAGCACGTGAGGCAACAGTGACATTTTCCCTTGGTGATGGTTTGCCATGCAACTGGTCTTTGAAAGAGCATCTAGAGAAATGGGATGTGGGGGTTAGCGCTGTGGGATTTGCACCCAGGACCTCCCAGTCTTACAGAAGCGAAGATCTGCTACCCCTCTGCCCACAAGCAAAGTAAGAAGGGTCAGGCAGCTGGGGCACAGCTCCATGGGAAGAAAAATGGGGCAAGGCGAGGGCTGGGAAGGGGCTATGAGGCCATCAGTTGGGTGGAAATGCTTGTGGATAGCGGAGCGCGGTCCCTCGAGGAGGGGACAGCTCCTTGTGTTCACAGCCCATTCCTGCAGCTTCCATGGGAATGCACTTGAGATCCTGGAGAAAAAGCATTTTTCACTAATGAAGGGGGAAATTTTGGGCTTCAGGACTGAAAATGTTTGTTTCTTGTTTTGCCATCTAGGTGAAGTGGAAAGCTTTCACAGAGGCTGAGGATTCAGCATCGTCCCCAACACTAGGCAGCCATCCCTTGTAATTTTTTTTTGTTTTGATAAAGAGAGGAGCAACACATACATATATATACTTTTACATATATATACTTTTTTCCCCTTTTTTTGACATAATGTTCATAATTCCCACACTGGGTGCAGGTTCAGGAGAAGACCCCCATGGGCCTGGCAGGCAGACAGGCACAGTCACGTCCCACTGCTGCTTGAGGATGCTGAGAAACGCAACGCGAGCTGTCTTCACCGTAGCACAGAGCGAGACGGCGCCTGGGTCTAGGCATGCCATACGTGTGTGGTGGGGTCGTAAGACTCTTGAAAAACTGGTGAACTCCTCAAAGTCATTAGCTCATGTAATAACCTGAAGAGTCTGTGTAAGGCTGTCGAGGTGCCATCTCAGGCTGGCAGGGTTCCAGTAGGAATATTTCAAACTCAAATCCCTTTCCTTGGCTGCATGGAAAGGTGGCCCATTTGGTCTTGCACTACTCCTCTTAGCATTGTAACACATGGACGGGGATGGATATAGAAGCACCACTTCTCTTCGGAGCCGCTCGGATGGGAGCAGTGTAAATGGCATGCACATCGAGCTCTCTCCGCGCTGAAGGTCTTCACCGGGGGTTTATGCCTTTTGACTCAGCAGGTCTTTTTTGCTCCATGCATGCTGTTTCAGGGACTCAAAGCTATCACAAGGTTGAGGTTCTGGGACAGATTTGGGGAAGCAGGGAGCTGGGTAGCCCTGGGAAGAGGGTGACAACTCCTTTGAGTAGGTGGCAACTGCTGGTTTGGCCAACACTGCCTGTCCTCTCCACCAGCACATCCTCAGAGCAACTGAGGCTTGCCAAGAGTTTGATAGCAGCAACGCAGGCGGTAACGCCACGGCCTTTTAACCATTGCTGGCAGGCAGCTGGTCGAAGCAACTACTCCCTTGCCAAAGCCTAGAGCTGACCCAGCCAATGAGTCTCCTCCCAGCCAGCTCCGAAGGAGCTGGATACCCTTTCTAGCCCAGCTGCCTGCAATTCATTCCTGCCACAATAATAGAAGTTCTGTGCTGCAAGGGGTGGTTCAAAGTACAGCACCAGGACACAGCACCAGCAACGTCACCCTCGCTGCAAGTAGGAGGGACCACCAGAAAATCAGGACCATACTGGTGGGTGGCCCCAACGTGGGGCAGCCCTGGGGCTCTGCAGCCCCCAAAACTCCAGCCATGCAGCCAAAGGTATTAGGGATTGGGAATTAGAGGAGGAACAGTCTGTTGGGGGAATTTCCATCCCATCACCTTCCTTCTGGCAAGTGCCTGGGAACAGACAGGCGAGGCAGACGGAGCTGGCAGCCGGTATCTACGGGGAAACCGTGATAACACTGGGGCTGCCAACATTTTTGCTGCTCGAGGAGTGCGTGCCCAACATACGCCCCTGCTTTATCTTGGGGGCTGGAGCCTGCAGAGGAGTATTGGGCTGTGCTGGAGGATGTCAGTGGTGGTGGCTCAAGTGCAGAAGAGCTGTCTCTGGGGACACAAGTGCATTGTAGGGCTCTAAGTAAGGAAACAGCCTTGGCATCGATTTGCACGTTTTGGGTTATCTGTCTGTAGAACCAGGCAGCAAAAATCAAAGTGGATGGAATAAAAAAAAAAAAAAATCAGGACTGAGATGTTCTCAGAGAGACACTGTGAGAGCTCTCAGGATACGTGCAGGTGTCAGGGGGATAGAGACATCTATTTGGGACCAGGTTGGCCATCTCCAGCCAGAGCTCCAGTGAGAGGTGGGGTGACACCTCCACCCGCAGCAATGGCCCTTGCTACCATAGGACTGTTTCAGGCAGGGAAGAGGATGCTAAGCTCATCTCCTTGTTCCCTGGAGTTTCAAGGACTCTTGCAAATACCAGAACACAGAGGTTATGTGAATACAAATTACATTAGCATGCCGAGGAGCTTTGTCAGCAGTTTCTTATTAACGCACTTGGCCCCCTCTGTAGTGGGCATTTCCATTCAACCTCCCCCTTCTCCACTGCTAACAGTCAACTGGGCTCTCCGGTTAATTCGAGCTCGTGTAAGAAACAGTGAGAGGGTTGATTCCAATATTCCCCTTCTTGTCCCACCACGCACAAGCTGTTGCTACTTATTAAACATTTTAAAATCCCTGCTGCCAAAGTCCCCGGGAGACATTTATCTGCCATAGTCATAAACGACTTGCCAGCATGCTACTCCAAACTGCATTTCCCAGCCAATAAATACAAGCTCCAGAATCAGGAAAAGCAAGGGTTTGGCTTGCTCTCATTTTCAGTGGTATGTCACTGGGATACTATAACTACTTTTAAATTCAAATCAGCTTCCTAAAAAATTAACTGGTTTTATCAGATACAGCACAGTGGACTGTTAAACACGTAGCCTCGTGTACTGAAACACTATACATTTAATGAAGTTATGCCATTAGCAAATGTACAACATGGGTGCATTAAATCCACCTATAGAACAGCTCTACGTATGAGAGAGAGGTTTTATTTCAGCTTTTCTCAATAGAGCAGGAGTCCCTTTCTTGGCTTTTGCCAGGTTTTTTAACTAAAACCAGGATTTGCACACACACAAACAAACCCAAAAAGTATCTACTCTCGTAATGAAAAAAGACTGATTTTTTTTCTTTTTTTATTCCAGTTCAGGAAGGAAGAGAATCATCTTGCAAGTTAATATAATCAGCTCCTTTGCTGCTATAATCTACTTCTGCTCAGCAGGAGCCCCCAAAAAAACACTTTATGTCCCAAGTGAAACATGAAAACTACTCGTAAGGTCTCTTTTGAGGCACATGATTTGGACGGTTGCTTTCAAGAGTATCAGAATCAGCGTCGTCTTCCATCTCCTTTCTTCTTGGGAAGAGCTCTCCAGCGCGCCGCAGGCTCCCCGTGTTTCGGGTGGAAGGCTATCTGTCCCTGCCCCAAATCAGAAAGGGTTAGGATGACACAAGTTAGCACAGACACCCATTTCGCACTTCACACCTAAGGACGTATGTTGACGACTCCCCACTTCAAATTCCTCACAAAGGGAGGGCAAAAATAAAAAAGAAAACAAAATTTAAAAAAAGGACAAGAGACAGTAAATTTCACTGTGATCACACGACGGCAAAATATACCTTCTGTTCATTGCAAAAAAACGTGTGAAGGCCAAATTAAAGAGGGGGAAAAAAAAAATATGTTGCATGAGTTACAGTGCAACCGTATTAATCCTTCTCTTTCTATTTTCCTCCCCCCCACCTTGTTCAGTTTAGAAAAAGGATTGAGTACAACACAGTCAGGTAAGTGGCCACAAAAGAGTAGCTGTCTTTGGCAAGAAGTCACCGCATCGCCCCTCTCTGTCACCTTCTGCCCATTTCGCTCTGTCTCATGAAGTGGATGTTGTTGGCGCTGTCTGAGAGTTCGGGATACTGCTCCACTGAGATCACAAAATAGCCGTCGTAGCCCTGTACCCGGCCCGTGTTTAGCACTTGTTGTTTCTCCCCTTCTGTCCACGAGCGAATACCCTCCTCCCCATCCCGTAGTCTCTGCTGTTCCCGGGACCAAGCTTGGGCCACCGCGCGCTGTCGGGCCAGCTCCAGGACGCGGGACTTCTCCTCGTCCAAGGTGGTCCCGTAGCGAGTGTTTAAACACAGCGCGCCGTACTGGAGCTGGATGTCTGTGTAACGTCTAGTCCTTCCATTTAGCACTGTGTTGATCTGCGACACCGTTACGTTCACGCCATTCTCCAGGGTCCTCCGTCCACCGCTGAGACCCAAGATGGACAGGTCACCCTCCGATGGCCCTTGCTTGATGAAATAGTGCGTGTCCACCCCGTCAATGGTGAAATGCAAGTTCTCCAGGTAGTGGGCGTTGTTCAGGATGGCCGCAATCCTCCGCCCATCCTCATTGGCCACGCTGATGATGTCGGTGGCCACGCGCCCGTCCTTCATGGCGAACTTGACGCCTTTGCCGAAGATAGAGCCTCCAGAGGCAAAGTTCTTGTTCTTCTTGACCTGCTGGCACCCGGCGATGCTGGAGCTGTAGATCTGTTCGAAGCGCTCGAGAGTGACAAAAGACTTCAGCTGCTTCTGCACTTCACATTGGACCCCCAAAATCGACTGAGCAGGGAGAGAAAGAAAAGAAAGATATATTAGAAAGAGAAGCCTGATGACCCACAGGAATTATTAGCATGCTGGAGACCAGACCAGAAAAATCTAATAAGGAGCTCTATTTTTTTCCCTTATCATCTTTTCTCAGATTTGTAATTCTTTTTAATGGAAGAGATGTGTTGTCAGGCTATTCCCCCTAATGCTCATTGTTTCAGTAAATTGATCTGTGTTTAATCTCACAGACTGAAGGATGTAGAGGTAGAAAAGGATTTTTTGCCTCAGTGGTGATGTGAGGGTCTAGTTTGGACATGTAATTATTTTGTGCTTCAGTGTTCTTCATCTGCACATGAGAAATCATTCATCTTGTGGCCCTGATGCTTTATAAAATGCTTTCAGATTTTCTGTGAAAAAGTGTGGAAGTATTTGTAAAGGTTCCCTCTGTTTTAACTTGACTTTCTAACTCCATGTGCTACCTTCAAAACCATCACAGGTATGACCCTCAAGGTGGCCATAACCCCTCTATAGCCCGTTTCAACCTGGCCAAAGCAGGTTGTTCAAAACTCAAGGAAGACTCTAAATCCAACTCCTATTTCCTGCAAACCCTCTCCAATGTGCCAGGCTCCTTGAGCTAAGGCCAGCCCCACCTGATGCTCAAGTTTTGGCTTATACTGAAGCAAAACTGCTGAGAGCCAAGAGCCTGGATCATTTGCAGTCAGGTACAATACAAAGTCACTTTTGCTGTTAGCGTATAATGGAGCAAGCACACAGCGAGTCAGCAGCTCATCATTACTGCAAAATGTCTTTGGAAATGCTCTCATCAATTCATGGCAGTGCAGGCTTCTTACAGACCCCTGTTCACGAACAATTATTTGCTCAAATTTCACAGAAGCAAGAGGATGCTACGACAAAACTCTCCTGGCACTGCCAACGGCTCAGTTCAATAATGTAATGACATCCAGGATTAAAAATAGGCTACAAAGAAAAAGTTTGCTGCACTCCAATTATTTCGAGGAAATTTAACATCCATGAAGGATATTGCCTTAAACCGTCCACAAGCTAAAGGCTCACATCCTTCCCTAGGTGCAAGAAGACAATTCAGACAATGCAGACATTTCAGCATGGACTTCTCAACTAAGACTTGTAATATGGCAAGGGAAGGGAAATAAACCCTCATTTCCACAGTGGCCACTTTCAGGGAAGGGTCTCAAAGCATTAAAGAAATAAAATTAAGGATTTAGCATTGCAACTCACTCAGAGGTTATGAGCAGTTTTGATCTATAAAGCAGAAAACTATAAGGGAAGAACACGTTTTGGGCTGTAAAGCATTAAAATACCTAAGACCCAGGACTGACTTTTATTCAAAGTGCCAAGAAGGCTGGAGTTCCTTCTTCTTTTCCCCTTTTGATTAACAGCATAGTAGCTGGAGCAGAAACCAGTCACTTATGAAAGAGGAGCTCTTTCTGGTTGTCCCCATCCTGCCTGTGGGGGATCTTACACACCGCCTAGAGAGCAATATAATTAACAGAGTGATAGGGAGCCAAACCCAGCTCCCCTGCCAAGTGTAGAAGTGCTCTAATTATGCAGAAAATGGACGTAATTAATGTAGATGTCACCGATGATGGACATGGAGCAATTAGGTTTCTAGGCTCCATGAAACACTTACTGTTCTAAATAAGTGTGTACTGCATAGCCTTGGTTAGCTATTTCCTCTTTAAACTGTTTTAAATGGGGAGGTATTGTTCTCAGGTGCCTCTCATATGGATTGACTCTAGGTGGTCCCACTACCCAATGGCAAGTTGCTCTTCCAGCTTGCCTCAGTAACTTCTGCAAGTGATGGGAAAAGTAATTTCTCATTACTCATGCTCATCACTATCTGGTCTGAGCTCCTTCACTCAAGGATGTAAATTGGGTCTTCTGCACTACATTGCTATGTCCTGTGGTCATTTATGTGTATCACCACCTATATATACACCACCACGTTTACCAGCAGGTGAGTGACAAGGAGTCTCTGGAATCAACTGCACCATCTAGGGATTATCCCCTTGGGGAAGGGAGCTCTGGGAGGTCAGACAGCACTGGGCATGGGAGAAATATTCCTACCAGAAATCTCCCCCATTCTCTTTCTATTTTGTCTCCATCACTTTATTCTTGATGAGCCGCAGAAACTCTAGTGTCTTGTCAATTCTGAGCAAATTATTAGGTATAGATCCCCTGTGAGTGCCTCCAAATTAGGTTACCCCAACAAACCAGTGGTCTGGACACCAGTCTCATCTTTTCTTCAAATGAAAAGTGAGCTTGCAACAAGCTCTGAAAACCTGCTGATGCTGCAAAATAGACACTGTGTTACGACAATCTACTGTGCTGTGGACAAGCAGGACATATGGTTCATAACCATATGTGTATACTGCTAAATATAAAATAAATGTTTTATAAATAATATAATTTAAAATTTTTTTAAAAGTAAATACTGCTAAAGAGAGTGAGTATTACACCTCTTATAATTCACACTGGATAATTTTTATTTTAACTCCTGGTTTGGTTTTGGACTCCTCCAACTGCTTTCTCCAAGACGTGTTTCCTAACTCGCCAGGTCACTTCTATCTAGCCTCAGGGCCAGGGTTGGATATCAAGTTCAGAGGCAGAGAGCTAAATTTAGGTGTCTTAATCAAGGACAAAATCACATCCAAAGGGTTTTCCACTGGGTACTGCTGACAGCCCTCCTGGGCTCTCCCCATCTTTTGTCACGAAGGAAAGCAGGAGATCAGACGCACGCAAAGCTGTAATGCTCAACATCGTCATCACTTAACACGTCTCTGCTATCTTGAAAATGAGCACAGGATGACTTTGAAATGACTTTTTGAGCACATTTCTTTGATAAAAAGAGTATATTTGGGAACAGCACTTTTTAAAAGGAAAAGCAAACACATCCAACAGAAAAAAACCCAACCAACCAACAAATTCAAGCAAACCAGAGCACACCAAGCTTGTATGCTCTGCTGCGGATATAATGAGGGTGAAGGCAAACAGACTATAGGTCGTTCAAAGAGGCAGTGTATCCCTGACTTTGAAATTACCATTTCTGTTTCATCTTCGAACTCATTGTAATGAACTGGCAAAGGAAAAGAAACAGAAAATTTCCATCCAAAGCTGCAGTGGCGTGTGGTATTCTCCAAAAAATGCTGCTGCTTTTAGCAAATGTCAACCAAGGTATCTACAAAACCAGTTATATGGAAGAAAGAAGGGAATTCATAGTGAATTTATTTCAATATTTGTTGCTAGATATGAGTGACAAATATGCTGGGTTTGTTTTTCCTCACAGTCTTTTTTAAATCAGATGTCCTTAGGTGACATTTCACTTTATCTAGTAACAACCCATTGGAGAGAAGAGAATGACCTTCATCATTTGTTCGCTGCTGCACAGAGCTCAAGAGAACGGCGCATTACAGAGATCTCTGAATAGCCTCTTGCATTTTGCCGGCACCTCTTGAGGATTCGAAATACCATAGCCAGATACTATCATCTGTTGTTTTTAAATACCGCCTTCCAGTGTGAGACTGCAAGCTTTAATTTCCCATCAAGGCTCCAAGATGTGAAATACGTGAACATGTTTCCAAGTTTCTCTATATCCTCGTGCCATTATACACAGATAGGTGTTTCTCTTACCACCATATGGCTTACAACTCAGAAAGCCACTTCTTCCAAAAGGCTTGGAAGTTATGATTTATCTGAAATATTCATCATGGTTAACTCCTTCCTATTTATCCCCTAGCCCTGTTAACAAACCCATTCTTCAGAAATCAGCCTCTTCCCTCCGTTCCACCTGGCCATCACCTGAAGACAAGTCCCCATTTGGGTGTTCCCCACCAACTCCCAGTTGGTGGAGGTGCAGGAGGAGCCCATCAACTGCAGCAGCCTACTGGCACCTCTCCATCAGCTGGTTGGCTCAGTGCAGGTTGGTCAACCTGCCAATCACAAATGCAAGTGGGACAATGGAGGTGAGTGATTGGCCGGCAAGCCCAGTGCTGTAGATGGTGATTGGTTAGCAGTGAGCCAAACACAAGTGCTGACTCTTGGGCTCAGAGGACTGGTCTCTCCTCTGCCCTGCCAGTGTACACAGCTGCCCGGGGATAATGAAGTTGAGCTCATCAAGCAGATTTCCATCTGTGAGGAAAGAAGAGAATTTGCGTCCTTCTCTTGCTCATCTATTTGCATAAAGCTTCAAGAGATTAATGTGTCTGAGACATCAACTCCTTTCCCTGCATCAGATCCAGTGAAAACAGTGTAGCCATAGGATGAGGGCTAACAGTTTTAAGCTGAAAGAAGTAGATTTAAGTTAGATATTAGGAAGAAATGTTTTCCTGTGAGGGTGGTGAGGCAGTGGCCCAGGTTGCCCAGAGAAGCTGTGGATGCCCCATCCCTGGAGGTGTTCAAGGCCAGGCTGGATGAGGCTTTGAGCAACCTGGGCTAGTGGGAGGCGTCCCTGCTCATGGCAGGGGGTTGGAATGAGATGAGCTTTAAGGTCCCTCCAGCCCAAACCATGCTCCGATTCTGTGAAAATATAACTAGGGGCTGATGGACAGAAGTGCAAATGGCATGATGGTCCAAGCCCAGGACAAAGTCCCCTCCATGTCAGGATGCTCTCCCTGAGTGATGAACACTGACAGAGCCAGTTCCTCAGACAGATTGTCCTTGGGAGAAGCTGTGCCAGAAAGCGCAGCCCTGCAGCTCACTCTCTGGCTGAGCATCCCAGAGCAGCCCTTGCCTCCAAAATGCTACTTCACAAGGGACGTCAAAGCTGCTCCTCCAGCACAGCCTGTAATGGGCACTGCAGAAAACAGGCCCTTTCCTGGAGGCACCGTGCTCATGGGATGGAGAGGAGGGTAGTTAATAATATGATGTAGTTAACGATACAAGCGTCGACCCCAAAACACTCCTCCCTGCAAATAGAGTTGTTCTGGCTCCAGCAATTACCTGACAGTTCAACAAGACAAAAAAGAAGGGAAAAAAAA